TTTGTATCGATATTTTGCATCATGGAGCTCATACAGTTTGGACTCGAAAGTATACTTGGCGTGCGTTACTTTAGCGTTTCAGCTAGAAGAGTTTTCTTAAGTAAGTGATAATTTTGGTGTTTCTCAAAGTCATCACTGAGTGTTTTGTGCATTTCGGACTAACTGATAAATGAATGAGGCTGTAGTTTTGAAAACTGGCGTTGTAAAGTAATTTTGAACAGGAGCTCTTTTGCAGAATTGTATATGCGATAGGCCAGCTAGTCATATTGTTTGTACGAGATGCGGGTTTGAGCTTGTCGGACGACTTCAGAAAGTTTGTCCGGAACATCCAAAGAAATTGGCGCTTATGGATCATCGAGAATGTCCAAATCGACTGTGCAAAAGTATTCACTTGATCGAGGTCTCACTTCAGCATTAGCATCGGAAAAACATTCAGTGCGCCGGACACGAATCGGTCATTCGATCCTAAAAATTCTCTAATTTTTGCTTGTCATTTTATCACTTCCGATTTCGCTTATTCCGAGATGCTTTGACCGTCATTGCACGAACACACACTGATCCATTTCAACAGCAGTGGCCAAATTGGGAATGGTGAAGTGTAATGAGAAGATTGTGTGCCAGTCTGCGGCGCTGGGAATTGTCGCGAGGGTTGGGCATAAAATAAAGATTGGATGGCAGACAGGAAAGCCGCGGCATCTCGAATTTTCGTTGTAATTCTCATAAAGCTTACGAAAGTGCTTCCAGGTACCAGCACAGCTCTACTACGTAGTGTATTTTGTGCTATTTTTTGCTGTTTGCTCACTAATTTATATTTTTACTTAAATCTTGCAATTCTGTGATAGAATGCTTTACTCGGCAGCTTTTTTACGCTCCGAAATCGCGGGGTTTTGTTTTTCAGACGATCAAGTTCTCCTCAGCAATAATCTGTTTCTTAGAAAACCAGGGAGTGGACTGCAAGGGGGCAGCGGTTTTTGAAACACTGGTTTTTTATAGACTATTTCGATTTGCTGTCTATTTTTGAACAAAAAAAAATTATATAGCTGAGCAGGGTATGTTGCTCGTCTTGCCGAAAACTGGTAGAGGTCGCATTAGTGAGTGTACCTGCGAGAAAGCAAACGACTACTCGGACGGTCCCCGAAGAGGCGACGCACATACATTGAATGGTATCAACTGGAGGTATGTAGCCTACGGCCGAAGGGCCTGATATAGCTGAACTTGGCATACGAGAGCGCCCTACTTGCATCAATAACATGAGATACTCGTCTTAAACTGAAGCAACTGAAGTACCACGAAGCGCGAAACCTCGTAAAATTGATTTGTTTTTGTACATCTCTGCGTATTGTAATAAACCATATGTCATACGTCTTCGATTTGTATTATTTTAACTGCGCCTGCTTTGTGTCTCTGTGTTTCTTTGCGCTGCACACTCTATTTAAATATGTATATTTTGTATCTGTATCTTGCTATATACATAATTTTTGAGCGCATAAGAGATCATTAGTCCCGTCATAGATTAAACCAAGCTGGAACGCACCAGGTTTACTAAAGTGTGTTCACGTGTTTATGCGCTTTTGCGCTAAGCTCGAAGCAATCAGGTCAATTAACTGTATGAAATGATTGTTGCTTTATACTTAACTTATGCACTTATTGCCGAAAGTCGCCGTAAATTTTGCATAAAGGAAAGTGAATAATTTCCATTAAGCAGTTTTTTGTTGAAATTGAACTGGCTAGTCTGATCCCTGAGTCAACCATTTTTCTGCCAAAACTCTCATGTATCCACACGCGAAAGCATGCTACCTAGTAGCAGAATTCAAAATCTTTAAGTCGTATGCAGGCAAGGAGCATTCCGTTAAATTTTCAGCATTCCAGCTCTTCTGCTTCTCGAATTAGCAATTTCCCCGCAAAAATCACATGCCCATAAGCGAAGACAATGCCTATCTAGGAGCTGAATTTGAAATGTTTAAGTTGTACTTAGACAAGGATAATCCCCTTAAGTCTTAAAGTTCCAGCTCTTCTGATTCCCGAGTTAGCAGTTTTCCTGTCCAAATTTTCATGTGTTCGTACGGGGACTCAAACATGCATTAAAGTTGGTATCACTTTCCGACGTCATATGTAGCCAGGGCACCCACTGGTAAATTTTAGCTTCAAAGCTTGCTTGGTTGCAGAGTTGAAATACTTGGGACACACATACACACACACACACACACAC